TTTTCAAAAACCACGGAAGCTATTCAATCATGCTGAATTTAATTTCAAGTTTATAGATCACACATCCCCATTTATTTAATAATACGCACTACTGCGAGATTTTTTTCAGGATATTGGTTTAATCGTGGATTTTTTGGAAATTCGTGTGTAAAGAACAAAAGTAGGTTTGAAAATTAGGGAGGAACAAGGGGAAGAAAAGTTTATGTGACATGTAAATCTAAACACTTGAATTTTATTCAATCATATGTAAATCTGGAGTTACATATAAATTAGAAGGCAATTACTTACAAGCAAAATTAGAAGGCAATCAACATGCAGTATTTCATTTACCAATTTTGAGGTACACATCCATTATTTTAAAATAAACTGCTGTATTTACTTGAATACCTCTTGCACTTGTTTCGAAATTAAAAGGAAAAATAGCATGCTTGTCAAAGGCAGTTACACAAATTTTTGCAATTTTATAAATTCAGGTGTAAGTGCGGCATACTTGATATTTGGGACAGATTTTGCATCAATATAAGTCAGTGTTCAAGCTGGATTGCAAAAGTGAACAAGAGTAAATTAAAGACGCAACATTTTGGACCCATTTAGATTAAAAATTTAAAAATGGAAACAATTGAAAATTAATTGAATTTATAGGTTCACTTAAAGTAGAAGTTTAACGCGTTTCATTTTCAAAATTTCGCGATCTATCAGCAGTCATCTTACTCGGGGACAGTTTTTAATCCAAATTTTTAGCTGAAAAACCCAAATGCAAATTTTTTGTTCAAGGGGGCACGGTACGGCCAAAGTAAATACATTTACAGTATTACAGTACTGCAGTTTAAATTCCTCTTTTGTCCATTGAAAGTCATCAGTTCGAAGCAACAACAAAACACTTTGTACGTAGCAAAAATTGAGAGATTTTGCAATAATTTCAATTCAGGTTAGACAATTTTTGTGGACAGTGCTTCCATTACACTGCCTACGCGATAGAATCTCGTTGCAAAGTTTTAATGCTTACACAAGTTAGTTTTTGGCCAGCACTGTCCAATAGCCGCAATGTTATTCGTATTTAGTTTTAACGATTTTTTTTTAAATTCATATCGAAGCTTTTTTTCGAGTTCCCAAAGGCTTCGCTGTGACGAGATTCTGCTGAATGTTTGAATGTTGTTTTATTTATTTATTTGTAAAATTTAACTTATTTTCGCAGGCGTGATTCACGAGACCAGTGGAGGCAGGAATTATTTCTACTCCTGGAAACACCCGCAAACCAGGAACTTGAAGGTTGACTGGTTGGATGCTCGTAACGTTTGCCGTCGCCATTGTATGGACTTGGTGTCCCTTGAGACTCCCCAGGAGAACACCCTCATCAGGAATCGCATTCAACAGGGTAAAAACACTTACTTATCCCAGTGAGCAAGAAATTCTCCAAAAGATGTCCAAAACTCATCCAAATGAGTTCTATAC